ATTTGTTACACTTCGCGCACTTACGATCTTTGGCTGGGCAAACTTGTCCGGGGCGATGCACATATTGACAGAACTGGCATTTTCCACCTTCTGTTTTGCTCTGGCCAGCTGACTGTCTAGAGGCCCTCTCTCCCCTCACTTTGTGCACTGCCTCCTCTTTCACCGCGCCACTGATCTCCGCCGTAGTCGAAATCATTGGCAACGATCGCGAGGATCTCCTTAAGACCTCGATGACCGACCGAAGGTCATTCTTATCATTCTGAATCACTCGATCCTTCAAGCGATCACTATCCAATCCGAGCACCAATCGATCGCGAATCATCTCATCTTTGACCTCCGTTGGGAATTCACAATCTTCCGCCAGTTCGCACACCTTCTCGAGGAAACGTTCGAAGTCAATACTTCCTTGATTGCACGCGTAGAATTTTTCGCGTACGACCAAAACGTTCTGTTTGCCACAGTATTCCTTCTCCCATGCCTTGACAGTCGATTCCAGAAGAGGACTGGGGATATTTGACTCCGCCGCCAATTTGATGACGTCGACCGAGTTGTTCGCTACCGTGACTTTAAGCGCTCGCAATTTACTCTTGCACTGGGGTCCTAGAGCTGTTCTGAAGTGTGATATCTGCACCTCAGGAGTCTGTCCGAAGATGCCGTTCGAGAGCGCGTAATCGTAAAAGTCCTCTCTGAATTCCAGCCACTTCTTTCTCCTGTTGGGTGGGAAAAGCGGTAACGGGGTCGGCAAGGGTAGCGTACCCGGATTCGTGCTCTTCGCCATCCTATCCTTGAGTCACTTCTTGATGTTCGCACTATTCTGACACCAGTTTCTTAGTCGATGTTCCTAACTATTCCTGTAGATCCCTATCCAAGGAATAGACGATGCGTGCTCCACAATGAGTTGTAGTCAACTGATTTATTGTCTCAGGCTAGTGCTGCTAGAGGGCTCTGACGTACGAACGCGCATTATTCGAATCCCATACAAACAGTGCCGTCGGACAAGAAGCCAGAATATCTCTCGTACAGCGAAGTCGTCGAGGTTCACAAGATATTGTACGAGCCTAGCGAAAATATCTGGACCGTTCGACTCGCGTTTTGAGGGATCCGTCAGAGTTCAGGAGAATCCATAGAAAACGAGGCTCGCTTGCGAAACGCCGCTCGAAACTGTCGGTGGATCAGCGAAGAGCGTAAAATGAAGCTGATTGAACAGTTTGTCGGCGGACTCAGCGAATCAAATATCCAGCAAGCCATCCTGGTGAAGTGAGCTCCATCGAAAGATCTAGCTGAGGTGTCTACGAAATCGGAAGAACTCATCAATGCGAGGAAATCGACCACTGACTGAGCTCCGACATGTGCAGACTCCTGCGGTCGACACCGATGAAGTCAACAAAATTCAGTTCGGCACTAACAAATCTTTCAGCAGCAAACCGAGGTTTCCGAGAAAGAAAAATTTCACCCTCAAGCAGACTCCGAATCCAAAGTGCTCGAGATGCGGAGACAACAATCATCTCGCTCAGGACTGCTACTTCAAAAACGCAGAATGTCGAGTATGTCGAATGAAAGGACATATAGCAGTGGTGTGTAGAAAAACCCAAAACAATCACTTGCTCGAAGAGATTCCGTTTAACTACGTCGAAGGGAGCCTCGAAGACCCGATACTGCTAAGCCTTAAAATCCACGGTCGTCCAATCGGAATGGAATTGGACACCGGCACAGGCATATCGACGATAGAGTTCTCGAGGTTCCGGAGAATGTTCCCCCGCGGAAAACTGGAGTCGAACGATATCCGAACTCCGAACTCCGATAACTCGATAACTCCGAACAGCAACTCGAGAGCTCTTCGAGCCGAAAGGGTTCGTGATTGTTCCAGTGGAGTACCGAGGTCGATGCGAAGATTTGAAGCTGTACCTTGTCGATCGCCCAAACTTCCCGACACTCTTGGGTCGATCGTGGCCAAGACTGCTCGGACTCGACGCGTTGGACATTGAGAAATGTCACTTCACAACGAGAGACTATGGAATCCAAGAATCTCCTGCTGAAATACCCAAGTCTCAGTGTTGAAGGTCAAGATTCGTAGCTCTGGTCAGGAGTAGAAGAGCAGCCCGTTCAGGAATACACAGAGATGCGATCTCACGAGAGGGAGATACCACAGTAAAATTCGAAATCTTAGGTCTTTCATACCTAGGCAGGAGTCTAAGCTCCTCCTTACATGTCCTGATCCATACATACATATACATATACATACATAGGATAAGGCTACCTTGGTCTATCATAAGTAGCGTCCTAGAATACTATTGGGTGTACCCAGCGTGTGGGGTGCTAGCCCAATTTCGTACTACCTCAGGGGTATCATGCTAGAGTCTTAACTTCGGGGTGCAACCCCGGTGACTCACGTATTTTACTACTGTCACGGGTATATGGCCCCGTGGGTTGGTATGAGTCATATTCCTAGTACGGAACGAGGACTAGTAGTTTCCAGTTCCTGCCTAAACCTCAACACCTCCCCTAACTGCTAAGTCCGAGTGTCTTCAGGATGAGGGAGCAATCAAGCTCCGGGTACAATTTACTTTCAGCAGTCAGCTTCTGAGAGTATTGAAGCGATGAAACTTCCTCAATAAACTGAATCGTCGTCCGCTGCTCAATTCCGAATTCGTTCTTCGCATGTCCAAACGGTATGCGACAAGTCCGGTTAGGTGCGCAGTAGGCCTGTACACGGCCGTATTTCCAGCGCTCAGCGCCAGGGGGCAGTGCGGCAGGCCTCCGCCGGAGGGCGCTTGAGCACCATAAAGGTGTTATAAAGGTGCTTTGCCGAAGATAGAATTTCCATTGGAGAGACAGGAATCACGGTCTCTGTGGATGAATATTATGGGTTCAGGGTTCTTCCTCCCCTCTCACAGAGAGTGGGAATCCTGTGGTGTAATTTTGAATTTTTCATGGTTGAGCTGAGAGATCGAAATTCCGAAGAGGAACTCTGATTCGTCAATGTTAGAAGACGTTGGAGGCCGTTTGAAGAGAATCATTCCCCAGAAGAGGTCGTCGGCCTACCGTTTGTTGTTTGTGACGATTTTGTGTTGGACTCAGTCAGAGAAATTTTTCGCGGTAAATGCAGCTACGGTCCGGCCGGAGAGTTGGTCGTCCAGCAAGCATGTTCAGTGCAGGGAACCGAAATCGGAGTTTCCCGGTGAGGGATCAGCCCACGTTTAGGAATGTTCGTGACGCCGGTCGGTTTGACTGGTTTTGGAGACTGATTGGGTACGCCCCCGACTCCGCACGAGGATGTCGTCCTAGAGTATCGGAGAGCGAGCGCCACCGCAGGCAACTCAATGGCGTACGAGAAGTGATCGAACGGCACTGTCCAGCCGGAGGTCGAAATCAATCCAGGCAGATGCAAGTGATGCACATGGAGGACGGAACTGGAGCAGATAACGGCAGCCCGGTACGCCAGACGTGGAGGCTTTGGTTGTAAGTCGCCGTAATTCTGTTTTTGTGTACTGGAACGATCACCGCAGGTTGGTTTGAGCTTGTCCTTGGAGATATTGTTGGTTGTATGGAGGGTTGTGGTTCCACTTTCCAAAGGAATCACCTAAGAGGTAGAACAACTCAAATACTTTCAGGAGTGTTCATGTCAAGGAAGGTGCATTTTGCCGCGAAGACGGAGTACTCAGTGCAGGTCTCGGCGGTGTCAACGACAAGTGTGTTCAGTCGGATCGAAGGCGACGTTGGGATTGTTGGCGAGACAGTCTCTCTTGACTCATTTGTTTGTGTAGTACAGAGCCGTCGTCTTCACTGTTACTCTAAGTTGAGGCAACAATGTATTTTGGTGTCATCCGGTAGAGGCTTTAAGCCAGAGAAGGTGAAAGCGAAACGGGGTGATGGAGTCAACCTCGATGTTTGTATTCGTCACCAGAGGTTGACCGAAGTGTAACATGTTGGCGTTGATACATGAAAATATATTTTCTCTCAAGCAGAGGGATTTATCAATTGATTGTAAAAAAAATCGAGTATTAATTTAGGTAAAGGGTTAGAGTTGATTCGGAATTGATTGATTCAGACAATATTTTCGTATTGATGTAACGTTGGGCTGAATGGGAAGTTGTCCTCCGCGGGAATCCGCCTCTCGATTGGGACGTAGAGTCGGATCAAGTCATTCACCCTCTCTTTGAGTCGAAGCTCCGATCGCTGTAGGCGGGCCGTGGCCAACCTCTCCTTTCTGAGTTCCCGTTTTAAGTCGTGGATGGTCTTTCGGGAAGCCTCCAGCTCATGCAGCGCGTGTCCGCGGTGCAGTTCCAGAGTATCGGCAAGGTCTTCACTTATGAAGGCCGCCGCGATCACGAATTGTTCTTTGATCGCATTGAACACCCTCGCAGCCTGTTGACCTCGGGCCGAAGTGGGTGTTATTCCCAATTTGTCGAAGGTGCGGCGATCAGCGTTCGAGATGATCAAGGATCACCGTTGTCTCGATATCTGCGGGTTTTCCATCTGTATTTGTTGATGGTTCATTCGAATTGTGGGGTTCTGGTGAGCGTGATATTAGCCATTCGTCGCTTGGTGGACGAGGCGCAGTTGTCACGAAGAGTGGTGGTTTGTCGTATTTGCCCTCAGTAGGGCTGGCCTTTCGGGATAGGACTTCGAAGTCCATGGTATCCTTCCAGTCTTCTTGCTCCTTTTCAATTATGTATTTAATTTTTATATCTGGTATATAATGTGCGGGATCTTTATCTAGAAGAGCGTATCTTTCTGAGAATCTGAGTTTTCGTGCTTCGTAACTATCTTCCACAGCAGCCAAATATGCATAGTACGTTTGCCGCGTTAATGGCGATTTCGGCCACCATTTATGGGCCGTGGCCTCAACGTGAGGCAGGAAATATCGACAATTGTATTTGCAATAACTGTCTAATTTCTTTTTGAATGTCCAGAAGGGTGAGGACTTTGGCATTTTCAAGGTATGTGGGAGGAGGTGGGTCAGCGGTGGTAGGATCGGGGATTGTCTGGTAGGGAAGTAGGCTCTGGAAGTGGACGAAGGGATCTAGTTGGTCCACAAGCTGGGCAGAGTCGATGGTTGTTGGCATGTAGGGATTATCCACTTCATGCTAGGGCGATGGATTGGTGCTCCGACGGTATGACATTTGCTTTCCAGGCAGAAGCATGCAACACAAAGCGAAGGCCAACATTATAGTTAGGGCCATTAGGACTCCTGCGCCAGCCAAAACCCAGTGTAGTACCTCATCCCTATCAGAGTGTGGTATATTGGGATGGAAACTGGCCTCGAATCGAGGCCAAATCTTTTCACCTCCAACAGGTGGGCGTGATGGTCTCATGCACACCACCTTGCTGCTTGACTGTTCCTCGCAATCCAAAAACGATGACGTGCAGCGATTGAAGAATTCATTGTTGCCTTCCTCGAAGCTGATGAGACAGCTTATGTTGTTCGAAACACAAGAACTGTCGCAGTCCTCATCAACAAAGTAGTTCTGAGCGGTAGTTGACGAGAAGGAGAGAAAACCCACTACGAGAATGATTGTGAGAGAGGCCATGGTTGTAAACCAATTAAGGCTCTCAGCTTTTCGAACGTATGTTTGTTCAGGGGTTTCGTCAACGCGTCAGCGAGATTCTCTGATGTTGGGATGTACTTGAACTCGATTTGTTTGCGTTCGAGAGTCTCGCGAACAAAAAGAAACCGGACGGCAATGTGCTTCGTCCGTTTATGAAACTGTGGGTTATGGATCAGTTTCAGAGCCGCTTGATTGTCTACATAGACAATCGGGACGATCTTGATTCTGAGTTCAGAAAAGAGCGTTCGAAGCCATAGGCAAGACTTCGAGAAGTCTGCGATCGCGTAGAATTCACTCTCCGTCGTCGATAGACTGACGGAAAGTTGTTGTGATGACGACCAG